AATTAATTATTCATTAATTAATTATAATATGTTAAATAATTAATTTCAGCTTGCTGGAAAAAAGTCCGAGTTGCTGCAAGATTTACCAGAGAAAAAGTCCAAGTACAAAGGGTTAAATCCACGAATTCAACGACGTCGAAGTGCTCACGTACAGCTATAAAAGACCCTTAATTATAAGACACCCTATATTCAGCATTGTAACATAATCCAAGTGTCACTGACACTCTATCAACACAAGTTACTAAACGTATCGCTATACATTTACGTTGAACGATCTCTGATTATCGTCATTTACATACCTGAAGATAACATCGCCTCCTGTTGATGGCGCCACGCCGGAATACCTCGCCTCGCAGATAACGTCCGTAAGTCTCTCAGGTTGCTTAGTAGACGCTCCTGGGAAGTACTGTTCGCAATTGTGCGCGAAGTACCGATACACGTTCCAGGTTTTACCAAAATCGTACGATCTCTCGATCAACATGGCAGCTGGCCTGAACGTCTTGAAGCGGATAATGATGTGGGTGAAATGAAACTCCGCTTCGAGATCAAATCGTACCGTGACGTTCTCCACGCCGTTCTCCGCTTGCCACCAATTCTTCCTGTTGGATTAAGTTAAACGTGAAAAATTTGTAACCGTGACATAACGTGTGTAAGAGTAATAGAATTTCTGCGCGTGTTTAGTCTGAAGCGAGAGTTAACCCTTTCGTTACTATTGGCGCCCATAGACGTTTTGAAAATTTCCTCGCACCATACTGTTGGAGCCTTTTGGGCGCACTTCCATCTTAACTTAATACTTAATTTTATCCTTTACGCGCTTCCATCTTAATTTAATAAACCGAATTTTAAAACGATACGGCCAAGATAACAAATTTTGCAGTCGTGGTTAAAAATTTACCGTCAGTCACCCATGTTATGCATTAAAATTTGCCGCAGCTAGAGGGCTAGGAATGTCGTTACATGCCCTCCTTAATTTTTAATACAATTAAATATACATTATTACTATTAAATAATCGAGTAAATAAATATTGTTACTATACAAACAATTTAACAATAATAATTGTATCCAGCAATAGTCACATATTTTCCAAAAATGTGGGTAACCCGAGTTGCGATCCATTTCACAGTACAGCGTCAGAAATGTGTTAAAATATCATAGAAAACGATTCTACGATTGTCACTCACTCGGTAACAACGTTTTCTATATTGTGCTGTTGTTTTGACATCGTTGTATCACAGAAGAAACACTTCTTCCGGTCCTTTAGATGTGAAACGATGCAATATCTTTCCGGTCTCGTGAGACCGCAAGTAGAAGAGGCGCTCAATCGATTTTTTCGTCCGATTAACAGATTTCCGGTGGCGGGATAACACGAGCTCTGCTCGCATGGGTGCTTCCTCTTCGCCTGTCCGCCTGAACAAAAGTGGAAACAAAAATTGTGAAATATTTGTCCATAGGAGATCGATCGAGTTAGCCACAATTTTTAGTTATCTCCGTCCCCTTCGACCAGCTCGAGTGTCGTTAACTCAACCAACTGGCAAATCGAATTAATCGATCAGTTGTTATTTACAGCGGAAATTAACGAAATTCCCAGAGACTAAGTAGAGTTAGTGATCAGAGAAACCGTGTCCAGGTATAATCACCTCAACCACATTAAAAAAAAAAACTTAAGGAAAGAAATTCAAGATCGTTCGTTCATCATCTTAAGAGGCGTCTAAAAATAAATAAAAATTTAAGAATTTTTTTGTAGATAACTATTAAACGCGAAGTTTCAATTTTTGCAGAGGATACAAATATAACTTTCAGCTTTTTTCTGCAATTTTTAGAAAGCAAAAATGTTACAAAATGGCGGAGTTATTTGCTAATTGCGAAACCTCTTCTGCTAAGAGGAATTCTAAGAATTGGAACGTCTGGAATAAAAAATTCTTTTTAATTTATGAATAAAAATGTGTTATCTACAATGTAGCGTAAGATTTTTCAAAAATTATAATTATTATAAAAATGGTGGTAGTTTGAAGAGGAAAAACTTCTTTCTACCAAGAAAAATCAACTTTAAACGTTTCTAAAAAATTAAATAATTGACATATCGAAAAAATAGTAAGCTACATTGTACGTAATATATTTTTGTTTATAAATCAACAAGAATTTTTGATTTCGAACGTTCGAATCCTTGCCAGCAATGGCGGCCAGCGATCGATGTTCTGGCAATAGAAGTTTCACAATAACTCCTCCATTTTGTAACATTTTTACTTTTCAAAAATTGGAGAAAATAGCTGAATGTTATATTTATATCCTCTGAAAAAAATTGAAACTTTCCATTCAATACTTACCTACTAAAAAAATTCTCAAACTTCTCCTATTTTTCAGACGCTTCAAGGTGGTATACCCCCTCAAGTTTTCATTCAAAGTAAGATGCGTACGAGTATAAATTTGAAACTTGCATTAGACAGAATACATCTGTGTTAGAATCGTGAATATCGCAATAAAATTATTGTTTTAATACACAGAATTAATACTGCTCAGTATTAATATATTGTACAGTTTCGCTTGTCTACTTGTACAATGTTTTACTCTGGTATACCAAGAGTGCGTCAATTATTTTGATGTGTGACGAATACAGAAAGAGAAGAGTAACGAGCTTGATTGAGCAATATTGTCATGCTGGTTTTAATTGTCCGATGACAGGTGAGTAAAGTGAACCTGTGAAACCAGCGAGAATTAGGCGCTACCTCTTTGGCTAGGAATGGTCAGCCTTGGCCAATAATGGCGCTCTTCGATCACCTCCGTGGGTGACATATCTCCTCTCTGGATTGATCCTACAACACCCGTTTTTTATCTCGAATGCTTACTCGTGTCTAATTCTACATATTCTCACGCAGGAGTTTGATACATTTAATTGGAACTTGTTTCGACACAAAACACACAGACCTAAAGTATGTATTTTCTATACATTTTCATTTGGATTTGTAGATAGGTTCAGAGATGCCGATATTTTTGTTAGATCTTCCTTCGTGAAATATTGCATTAAATTCAATTACAGACTCTCTTTAGCATTGTTTAAAAGTACGTTGAACTCACCCCTGATTGGAACCCTTTCTCTAGCATCATTAGCATACTGTGGCAGTGCAACATCTGAGAAAAGAAATAATTTCATTAGAATCTTAACATTTTTACACCTTCGCTCATGGCGAAGAAATTTATGTGAAGTTATATCTTTAAATCTCTTTGGAAAAATGGAGGATCTTTTAGTCTTATTTTTCTCTTCAAAGATATTCAATCTAAAAAAGTATTCTATTTTTGAATATACAAAAATCTGATTTTTGATTTTTATAGAAATTTAGCGTTCTCGATTGCTTTTCAATTATTATGTTTAATAATTTTGTAAAAAATCCTGTATTCTCAAATATATAAATTGAATAAAATATTAAATAAATACACCTGAAATGGTGAAAATTAAATCTACTTAAAAATTGTCTATTAGCGATGCTAACTATGGGACAAATGAATTTTGAGTTAAAAATGCCCCTTACAGGAGGAAAACTGAAGACTATATATTTCTGGGAGAAATTTTAAGCGATGCTAGAATGTGCAGTTATCAAAGTAGCGTTCTACTACCGGTAGGGGCTATCGCAAGGGACAACCGGATGTTTATGATGTAGCTACTCTGGGAATCATCATTAAAAATATATGGAAAGCCATGAGTTGAACAAAATTCCTAAAATCGTGTTTTATTCATTTTTTAACATCTCAAATATTATTTCTTCATCAACGCTAATTCCTCACTTTTTATCGCTTATCTGTGTCAACGAGATAATAGATTTGTCAAGTTAATTTGTTATATTATTGGATAAACAATTACACATCCTCTACATATTTTATTTATAAATTTATATTTCTACAACCTCGCGTAAATCAAAATTTCCTATAACGTATTTTACACTGCAAATTGTTTAACATTTCTCAATATTTGTTTTATTAATTTTCCTCGTAAGTGCAAATTCGATTTTGAAAGTCGATAAAAATATAGAAAATTGTAGAAAGCCTCCGTGTGAAATAATTTTACTTTTCATAACAACCCAAATTTCATTTCGCGTAAAACACTATTTAATACCGTATTGTCTTCGTATTTTGCGGTTTTTCAATTTTTTCAATTTTTTATTTCATAAAATTAGAATAAACCGGAAAGTTTATTCAAACGCTTCGCAAGAAATTGTTAATATATTTTTCCTGCTAAATGTCTTCTGATTTGTTCTGCTTGAAATTTTTAGGGCGCTTAGATTTTAGTGCCCGAAATAAACTTGAGAAGTTCAGAAGGAAGGCAGGTCGAGGGGTCGAATCGCTATCTAATCGAAATGGATAAAGTGTCTTCTCGTAAGAGAAATGAATGGAAAGCACGTTGTGATCATGAATAGATGAATTCCAACAATGTCGTTCGGACAAAATTCCTCTCTGGTTGTTCAACGAAAATCACTAACCTTTGAATTAACAAACATACTACACTTTAACAAATTTTTCCATCTTTAAAAAGAATCCTTATTATTTGAATATAATATTCCATTGATGCAGAAATTTTCATTAAAATTACAATAAAATTTTGTTACAAACTGATATTTGATTAACGTTATACATACAGGTGATAATGTAATGTTCGACAGCTGTAACAAACGTGGAAAAAAGTTTAAATAATCCTGCGATAAACACGTGTTAATAAGTAACACTTACTTGACACGATAATTATTGCAAATAATAATATTGCAAGGATCGACTGACAAGCCATTTTCTCTCCACCCGTCTATCGTTTAAATTTCTCGAACCGAGTCTAATCCATGAGCACTAGTGTCCATCTGAAAGCAAAGAAGTAATTTTATCAATAAAATTGATTTTATATTCAGACTAACAAAACGGAAAAAATTTCAATTTCCTTTGAGAATTTTCAATTCTTCGGTAAATAATTCTCGGA